TTTTTTTTTCTTGCAACATCGAAGCGGGTGCGCCAGGCAAACAGGAGAGAATTTGTCCCGACGACAGTACACAAATAAGCAAATAAGTGAGGTGCAGAAGAAAATGAAGAACCAAAGAGCGCCCCAAGACAACAAAAAGAAAACTCAACTCTGCCCACGCCCATGCTGGAACTTCACTCAACAGTACAGTAATAGTGTCGATCCATTTCGTTCTTTGTTGGCCCCGTAAGCGTGGGCGCTACACCATAAATCGAACACAACCTCATTAGTGCCGGTACCGGCACTAATGAGGGATTGGCCAGCCCTCAATAGTGCCGTTTTGGCACTATTCGCAATAGTGCCGGGTGCCCGATTTAGTGCCGGTGAACGCTCTGTGCACGTACCGGCACTAAAAGGGTCCCTCGACTGTACTATATAATACGGCATGCACGACTACGAGCACACACACACACACCCAGCGCGGGATCGGTGATGGCGATGATTATTTAGTTTATCGGCGGGATATTGTACAAATGCATCGACATGTTATACTCTGTATTGGAAAGGAACAGCAGCTTAACATGCTTGCACCCAACTGGAGAGGCCATCAATGCACAAATGTCGGATACCACCCCCCCCCGGCTCGGCGATGGCGATGATTGGTTTATCGGCGGGATATTGTAGACGAGCTATGTTCTGTGTTCCGAAGGGAGCAGCGGCTACAGCAGTAGCACCATGGTGCAAAGATGTCTCGTACGAAGCTTCCTCTTAGATCAAGACGCAAGCATACCCGTACCGCTCTTGTGTACCTAACACCACCACGATGTAGCGTTCCCCCCACTCCTCATCACATGGTAATCATTATTGCCATCTAAGACGCATCCCGTGGGCTAGCTTGTAGGGAGGGGCGGAGTTCTTTCCTTCTCTCGTTCACTGCCTCTGATTGCTGTCTTCTCTTCCACGAAAACTTTTTGCAGTCTATGATCCTTCCTTGGTTGGGATTGGATGCAACCAGTTTTCGCGCTGATCGAGTTCCCCCGGAAGAAACTCATGTTATTGGTATTTATGCGAACAGGAGAACAGGACGGGACCGCAGTCACCGTAGATCGCATGCGAAGATACCACACCCCCCGGACCGATTTCAAAGCTATCTTACTCCACGATAAAGGATATGCCGAGTTCAAATGATCCGTTGTCGGAAAGCTCTCGACGAGACGGTGCCGACGCCGCCTTTCTCGACGCCGTCGCTGCAGTTTTTCCTGGCGAGAAATCAAGCTTTCGAAAATCGGCTCAGCGGGGGTGGTATCTCACGCCATTCAAAATACGGTATACCTGTAATCGGTTGAAAGAAACAGAGGCTTAATTCTTGACCAAGACTGGAAAATTGGTCAAAAAACATATTATAGCTCAGCGATGGGTCATATACACTGAACCAGTAGCCTAAGCAGGTGTTTTTTCGTGTTTAGTATTTGTTTGTTAAGTATTATGTAAACGTGTTGGATAAATCATTCGATCGGGGGTTATTTGGGTGGGATTAGGGTTTACGGAATAGTGTTGTCTGCGTTCCCACTCCCTGTTCTATTTCCTCGTACACTTACAGTGGGAATCCCTGTGTAGTGTCGGCATGTGCCACGAATATTCGCCGGCACTATACCGGACCAGCACTACTCACAGTACTGACAATGACTTGGAAATTCAGTGTGTGCCCGCCGAAAACATCGGCACTATGCCGGACATGGACACTACCGTATATGACACGAGATAACACACCCCCTGGACCAATTTTCAAAGCTCGATTTCTCCACGACGAAGAGGATGCATAAACGAAACGATACATTCTTGGAGAGCTCTCGACGAGACACCTTCAACGCTATCGATTTCGGCGCTGTGACTCTTTCTGTTGTTGAGAAATCGAGATGTGAAAATCGATCCAGGGGGTGTGTTATCTTGTGTCATGTACGGTATTCATCGGGCACTAAACAGGGCCCCTCACTGTCTTGATGGCGAGAAGCCGGTGCCACTAAACTCTACTCCGTTTATAGCAACCTGTGCTTGACAGTGGAGATTGAAAAAGACCGATCAATGCATACGTAAGATAACACACCCCATGGACCGATTTTCGAAGTTCGATATCTCGGCAGAAGGTCCCGAAAATAGCGGTTTTAGAACCGCCTCGTCGAGAGCTTCCTGAACACGTAGGGCTCAATTTCGGCGTCCTCTTCGTCGTGGAGTAATCGAGCATTGAAAATTGGTGCAGGGAATCTGATATCTTACGGCAACTTCGCCCCGATTTCGGCGTTTCTTATCTGCCGGCCCCCTCTGTTGACTACCGTAGGTGACGTGAGGTAACACACCCCCTGTACCGATTTTTCAAGCTCGGTTACCGTATATGACACAAGATAACACACCCCCTGGACCGATTTGCAGAGCTCGATTACGCCACGACGAAGAGGATGCATAAACGAAACGATACACTTTCGATAAGCTCTCGACGAGACGGTTTCAACGCCGCCGTTTTCGGCGCTCTGACTCTTTGTGGTGCGGAACAGCCGAGCTTTTAAAATTGGTCCAGGGGGTATCTTGTATAACCTACGGTACAAGCGACCCCTTCTTGGGGATCATTGTGAGAGCACGGCAGTCAGTGTAGCGTCATCAAGGGGTGCTAATGCTAGATATGCTCTCACAGCTGGCGTGTGTTTGACTGGAAGAGCCCAGCGAATCCCGATGAACCAAAAAGAAGAAATACACGTCTCTACAACCGTTTGGAGATACAAATCTCAGCATGTACCGGTTTACAGCACCGTCCTGCACAGAAACTTACTTACTCATCTTTCCGCGAGAGAAAGATGAATAGCGTCTAGGTGACGGGAAGCATTGGGGGGATGTTGTTGATCTACGGAGATTGGGGTCGGGTAGGCTGCGGGACAACAGAAGTAATTTTCTGCTGTGGTAATTGTTTTCCTCGGGGTATCTCCATTGTACGACTTGCTTATCTCACGGCCCCATACAAGTAGCAATTCGAGTATCACACCGTTTGACCATACCTTCTTTTGGTAAGTTGGCCTGTGACCACCGGAGGGAATCAACCGGTCACGGTTTTTTATTTCAAGACAACACCACCAACAATAACAATAACGTTTTTAAGTGTGCGGAGGTCACCCCGCGGGAGGCCCCCTGTGGGTAACAGGCTCTTTTTTGTTGTGTGTGCGGGGACGATCCGATATCTAGCTCCTCGTCATACCCGCTCGTCCTCTCTCCCTCTCTCTTCAATTGTTGTTCAAGTGCGCGGAAACCACTCTGCTAACTGTTTCTCGTTGTCAACCTCTCTCTCCCTGTCTCTTCTCTGTTTTTATTTTTGTTCAAGTGTGCGGGAACCACTCTGCTAACTATTTCTCCTTGTCAACCTCTCTCTCTCTGTTTTTTTTTGTCAGTGTGCTGGGACCACTCTGAGGGAGGTCCTGACCACCTGGGCGAAGCTGGAGGGTTTGAACGGCGCAATTGTGGAGTACTGCAGGTCGAAGACTTTCACGAACGTGAGACAATATCAAGTCTGCGTGCGCATCTGTTTACTAGCAGTAGCCCGTGGGCTTCAGTATACTAGCAGCGGCCCGTGGGCTTCGGTTGACTAGCAGCAGCCCGTGGACTTCATTTGACTAGCGGTCAGCGCGTCAAGTCCATCACATCTGCGTAACCCCCGGAGGTCTCCGGAGACCCGTATTCTACCGTGAATACGCAAGCTCAAGCGGAAGCCGTACCAGTTGGCGTTACTGATAAAGGGTTCAGTGTTAATGCTTTAGAAGACGAACCCAGTAGCCAGCATTGCGTGTGTGTAGAGGAGAGCGGGGGGCCCCAGACCGTATGTCAATGATTTAAATTGGCTTGCGCACCCTTCGGGTCCGTTTAGTTTGAGTATACCTTTATTACTTCAGTTTGTCTGTGACTACGGGAAATGATCGTGTTTGATCGGTACGGACATACGAAGGTACTGGATAGAGATCGGAACCTTTTTTGTTGTGAAGACAACAACAACAACAACAACCCAGCCGATCTTCCAACACGTTCCATTCGACTATTGTGGCACTACAGAACGCGCCACCACTTAAGAACTTAGCTGTTGAGAACTTGAGCCTCAACATGTCAAAAATGAAGTGAGGGCGATAGGGTAGGGAAGACCTCTTTGAGCCACCTTTGACAAAGTGAGAGAGAACGATTGACCTTAATCCTGAGCTGTTGAAAACTGGGGCTTCAAAATGCCCAAAACGAAATGGTGTCGATAGCGTAGGGACAACCCTTTTGAGCCACCTTTGACAAAAGTAGGAGAGAACGATTGACCTTCATCCGGGATTGGTCCTGTGGAGACAATACGCCGTCCTCTATTAGAAGACGCGTGGTCAATGGTCTGTTCTGCATGCGAAACATGAGTGCCCCCCCCCCCCCCCCCCCCCCCCCCCCCCCCCCCCCCCCCCCCCCCCCCCCCCCCCCCCCCC